GTAGTATTGACTTAATGACAGCTTCAGCCAACAAGAAGAGGGATGCCTACCTTTGTAAGTGGCTGTGACCTTCTGTAAACTAGATCATAGTTGATAATTACATGACACCATCAGGTGCATTGCCTTGAATAATTCTAAAGGATTGTGCAATTAAACAGATGGATACTATTTTGTGAAGTAGGAGATAGAAATACCAGTAACTTGAGATTACTGGATAAGTTTGGTGAATTATGTTAAACTTTCCCTGAACTTATAAAAACAGTATCCAAGTTTCTGAACTTATCAGAAAAATACTTTATTTTTCTGAAATCCTCCTTGGCCCTTGACAGCTGTTCAAGCTACTTTCCCAATTTATGTGAATGACTAGTTACTAATAATGCTATTGGGTACAGCTACGATACTGCGTGAATCCTTTCTCAGAAGCACATCTTTCTTCCTTCTTTCCATGAAGATGATGATTAGGGAAAAGAACATCAAGAGCCAGACATGGTCCTGAACATGTATTTCTTTCATAACCTGTTCAGTGAGTTTGAATGCCACATTATGAGTTTAGATTATCTGAATGTACTATTTGCACGGGGTGAAATGCAGAAAAATCCTTACAAAGGCTAGAATGGACTGAGATGCACAGAATTGCCAACCTACACCTAACTCAGTCATACAAGCATCATGACCATAACATTACAACACCAGAGCACAGTCACATGTTGGGATGATCATGCGTGCAGAGCACTGCAGCTAAACTCACCATACCCTGGTGTTATTTCCACCACTGTGGGTGTCAAAATAAGATTACTCCTGCCAGAATGCAGGAAATGAACAATTACATTTGGTTTTGGGGGGATATCTTACTCTGTATTTCTGTATAATATTAAGAATAGTCTGGCATTGAATTTACAGAAATCCTGATTGTACTTAATTTAAATTGATGTGCAATTTGAGTTAAATTCATTTTCTATGGTTTCAAGGGAGACAGATTTTGTTTCTGTTTATTTAAACTGCTGTTGGAATTGGTTAATTAAAAGGATTTAAAAAATCTTAATACTCTAAACAGAGCAAACTGGTTCTGAATTATTAAGCAACATTTTAGATGCATTTAAATAACCTTAAGTGACTTAACTGCCACCTGATCCTAAGCTGTGGCTCAGAAAAATGAAATGTGAAATACTGTAGAAGTCTTGGCTTACCAGGGCTTCCAGATACAGTAAATAAAAAGCTTAAGTCTCTAACAAAGCGTCTGCAAAGCCATATCTCAAATACATAACTAGTGCTCCACCTCAAGGAGAAATGAGCAGAAGAAACTGAAGACTGCAGCTTTGATTTTTCAGACCAAATCAGCAAGCTCAGTCTTTCAAAAACAGACTTTCAAATGAGATGGACTCGGCAGAGCATGCCAGGACCTCACTTTCTGTCACATACTATAAAACTTCCACAAACATGTCATTAATCCTAGTAGCACCAGTTTGGGTGAATTTGTTCTGCACATTCAGTTTCAACTAGATATGGGACACTTTGGCTCCTTTCCTACAGCGTGGTCAAATGCCCAGGCCATAAGATGTTAAAGAATTTTTTGGAAGACTTCTGCAGACCTCCACTGAAGGAAGTGAGGAACTGGTCACTCAGAAGGTCTACAGGGTGCTGGGAGAAGACAGGCCTTGCAGAAAGCAGATTGAGAGGACTACTGAAATTAGTGTTTGGGAAGTCTTTCAGGAGAAAGGGACTTACTTGAAAGGGAGAAGGTTGACTGAGCATGCTAATATGCTTGGTGTAAGCTCTTTGTTGTTAGAGTTGAATGCATTTTGAAGATTAGGGTGACCATTGGAAGAAAAAGAACTATAATTCTAAAATCAGCACACAAATTTAACCGGCACATACGCTTGCTTCCATAAAGCCTTTGCAGGTGCATTTAAGAATATGGCTAAGGACTGGTAATACAGCTTTTTACTCAGAAAGATGTGCTTACCAAATGTTTTCAAAGTTAGAGGTAGAAATTACCTGCTGACACAGGGTCATTTGTGTGGAATATGCTTGTCAGTACAGTACGTAGTTCTGCTTTGGTTAAGGTACTGAGAAAGGAGGTGGTTAATATATAATTTCTGTGCTAGTAGGAAGAACACAGTCAGTGACAAAGACCCAATAACAAGTCACTGCATGTGCTTAAATGCTTTGGAATGTCACTACTGCTTTAAAAACTACAAGTAGTGTCTAGAAAAGGTTAATCTGTGTATTTACTCACGTGTAGAAGTTTGTATTTACAGTAGGGTTATGATACCAACTTTAAGTTAGCTAAGGATATCTGTGTAAGCAACTGGAACATAGAACCAAGAACTAATGAATTTTTATTTACCAAAGAAGTAAAAATACTTCAACAACATTGTATCAGGACTGATGGCTTTGAAAAGAAGATTCTGAAAAGCAAGTAAAAAATGTTCTGACAAGTTTCCCATAAGAAAATGCTCATCTGATTGAAGATAATCCCCTCATTTTGATAAGACAAACACTTCTGGGGGTGTGTATGTTATTGTAATATAGATTAGGATAGAATAAAAATGATTAACTTGAGAAGAAATGTTTTCATCTTACTGCAGCAAAAATTCGAGCAAAGAAATTCTGACATTTTCAAAACTTTTTTTTTTTTTTTTTTTTCTCAAAATTGTTATAGGTTAAATACAAAAGGATATTTGTAAATGCTATTTTTTTCTGGAGCACAAGCATCCCAAGTGTTTTGTTCTTCTTTCACAAATTTGAATGGACGTCTGTGATATATATCGTATAGCAGAAGGGTTTTGATTGCAACTTACAGTGTATTTTTAAGAGGCTGTATAGCATGAAGCCTGAGGTAAGAAATTTATACTTGTACCACACTCGCAATACTTTCATCAGCATGATTTTTTTTTCCTTTTTTAAGCAAACAAACAGAACTCTTCTCTCTGTGGAGTCGCACAATTCCATCTTTCCAAATCTGTGGAACATGGCAGATGTCATTTATAGTTAGCAAACCCCTGGGGATTATTTTTTGTCTGTTGTAGCTCTGGTGGTCACAATGGCAACCGGATTCATACACGGCCACTGAGTCAAATCAGCATGAATCATTTATGCGACTCCTCATACATGGCATTATTAGGTTGGAATCATAGAAAAAAGATGACAGGGTCTCGCGTCCAGTGCAACAGACCAACAGCTCTGTATCCTGCCATAAAATTCTCCTTCCTTTGCCTCAGCATTTTCTGCCTTGAAGTTTTACAAATTTATTGACACTACCATCCCACTGTAATTTAGTGGTCTTTTTTCTTTTCCATTCCTTTTTTCATTTGTTCTCATTTGAGCCATCTGATCAATTTTTGAGTTTACAGAGGACTAAAATTAATAATGATGACGATGTGATTATTTACAGAAACAGCCAGTCTAAACAGAGAGAATTTAAAGTGTAGGAAAAAAAAGGTAATATATTCATAGGTTGATTTTCTTTTTTTTTTTGTAATAACTATGTGCTAGGACATAAATATGTTACAGGCAGGAAGGTATGATTGCAGAATATTTAAAACACATGAAAACGTTGTTTAGACTGTGAAAGATTGTTGAGTAAGGTGAATGATACTGGAAACTTAGATGACTTCCAGTCCTTGGTTCCACTGGAAATGATATCACATGCTTAAGGAGTAAAGTTAATTAGTGATTAATGAGATTCCCAAAATGCTTCTTTTCAGTCTGACTGATTAGGATTCTCAATATAAGACAAGGTGGAAGAAAAGCTGTAAGCACTGCAATCTTGTTTACAGAGTTATGCCATGAATCTTCAGAAATCACATCCACTCTCAAGGTCATAGCTTGTTAAAGACATTATTTTCTTCCCCTTTTGGAGTACTTGTGTCACTTAAAATAACTTACAAATAGGATGATAAAGCAATGGGCTGCTGTTACAAAACAGTACTGTAAACACGCCAATCAGAGCTCTGCTCCTAGTGATCTTCCTCCACAGGCAGTGATGAGAAAGAAAATGGAAAAGCAACCCAGATACTGAGCTCCTTTGATGAAAAATGGCTTAACCAGTCACCTGGAGATTCCTCCGGACAACAAAACCCCTGCTCCAGCCCAAAGCTGCCCAACTGATTTGCAGTACCGGAGGTAGCACAGCCAAAAAGCTGCTGAACTTCACCCATCACTGCTTGGCTCAGTTTGTACTGTCACCTCTGCATTACCCCATTACCTTCCCCCTTTTACGCAGTGCCCTCATATTAATTGCTGCACAGTTGGATCCACTGACTTTTACCTTCGCTGTAACCATGACTAGTTAAATTAAAGTTAAACTGCAAAAGAGCAGACAACACATAGTTATCTTAAGCGAAACCGGGTAACAAGCACATAAGTATCTGTTGATAAACCAACAGAACTGAACTTGCTTTTGTAAGCAGTAAGTGGTATTGACTTTGAAAATCAGTCACAGCAAGTACATCACTAGAATTTGGACGCAGAAGGTATAAATGATTACTTGGTTGTATGATGTAACAGGTGGATGAATAATTCATTACAGCATACTGATTAGCTCGTAACCATTTGTTATCTGACACTGAGCCTTCCTGGTCATAACATAAAATTGGAATAAAATGGCAAAAACAATGACCAGAGAAATACTAGTCTATATCAGACCTAAACAGCAGACTAATATTGATGCTCTTTCCTTCGCAACATGAAGCGAGTGATGCTGGCTCACAGTCAGAACACATGGACATTTTTCACTGAATGTGATCCACAACTCGTTTGTATCAGAAACGAAGGATTTTTTAAAATGTCACTGGAAACAGATTTCACAGTGCAATTTTGTATGCAACATATGATAGCACTGTTAGGCTAGCACCTGGCTTGCTCACAGCCACAGAGCTTGGGCCACACTCTAACATATTCAGGCACAGCTTTTATTTTCTATGCTAAAACATACTGGTCATCCAAACACACACAATTAAGAAGTAGTGATATTATTCCTGGAAGGTGCATTTACTCACATCTCTCCTTGGAAAGGTGCCCAGCAGCTTGTATTCCTCCCAAGGATATCCCTTGGAAGCTACAAAATCAAAGACAACCTGCAGCTTGCTGCTGGCCAGGAAACGTCGCTCAAAGAATTCTCCGCTGGGTGTCCGAATACGCAGTTTGCTGACTGACTCGGTGCTCTCCTCTTTCGGTTCTGGAGGCAAAGATTGCTCAAGAGAGAGCCTGATAGCCTGAGGATGGAAAAATAACCATTCAGGTTGCAATCTTAACAACAGAAGAAGAGGAAAGAGCTTTTCTGTTCATGTCTTCTAGAATTTCATGATGTGCCATAGTTGTGCTTTATATCTCAACGACAAAATCATTTTTATTCACTCCTTAATAACAGCTCACCAGACAACTAATTAAAATAAATCCTTCTTTATAACACATATTATTAGGTGTACAGTTAATGCACGATGGGGATAAGTAATTTAATCATTTGGCAGAAAGCCTTGAAAAATTTGAAAGAGAGAATAATTGTCAAGTGGCCAATTGCTTCCTTAAAAGGGTATAAATTGAAGGCAGTAAAAGTATTTCTTCAAATGCACTTATTATCAAATTGCCTTCCTCTTATACAGAGTAATTGACCATTTGTACCAAAGACAAGACCCTCAGTGGCAGTTCAGAATAAAAAGAAATATGTGCAAGAGATTTACTATAAATAAATTAAAACACTGTTAGATGTGCTTAAAAATATCACAAATGTGTATTAAATATAGTGTATATACAAAATTTGGAACAGTCAAAGAAGGAAATTGGGAGGAGAGACATGGGAACTTTAAGGTTTAAAGAAAGCAATTATTATTACTACTTGCAGGAAGACTACTCCAAGCACAGGTGTGCACATCTTCTGAAACAACTTGCACGCAGCCAGCCAGCACTGTAATGCCCAGGCTGCACCCCGCAGCTAAAAATGCAGATGCTTGCCTTCCTGCTAACACTGCATGTATTGCTGATGTCAAGACTTTACAAGCAGGAACCAAGTCTGTATTCACTGACCTTTGCCTCCAGGAAATACAACATTTACACTTTGATCAGAATTAAAAACAAAGAAACAACAACAGCAACAAAAGCCTAATATTAGACTGCTGCCATAGGTGGGCTTGATTTTCATGGGTACTGAATGCTGTTGGCGCCCTCAGACAGAGGCTGATTTCTTTTAAAAATAAGATCATGTTTAGAAAGCAGCCTTGTTACCGTACCACCTTACTTCAGGCAGCAGTTAATGAGAATCTCAACAAGCGCTAGAAGCAGAATAACAATTCCTTCCCAATACACCTAAAAGACAGTATTCCAAAATGCGGCAGTCATGCACTGCTTTACCTAGAATTTAAAGGCACTTTCATAATACACAGTTGCTATTTATGCCTTTGAAAATCTCCCCAAGGTCATTTAGTAACAGATATTGATGGAGGATGATTGCAGTAAAGAGAAAGGAATGGGCAAAAGCAAGATTAAGAAGCCTTTTAAATAGTCTACTTCTTGCACACGAACCTCTGAGCAAATTATAGCTCAGTATAAATATTTATACATAGAACTTGAGTTCATTTTTGCTCATCTACTATGAGATTATATTTTAAATAGATTCTATTTTAATTTTCTCTCTCTCCATACTCAACCACCTGCTTACTGTCTTTCTGTTTTGACATTTCCCCACACAGTATAACAACAGATGCTACATTATTTACTGAACCCAATCAATTATATTATAGAAAAATAAACAACAGTAGCTCATTAGAGCTCTTTTCTTTGTGCAAAGAATGCGTCGCTCCCTCAAGTAACTAGTCTCCCAGGCTTCAATGTAAAACGGCAGTTTACAATGGATATTCTGTACCAGCAAACCAAGTCAGAAAACAATGATGAGATGGATCACATTAATAACTCTTGGATCTGAACAAGCAATTTCAGTTTTGTTGATAAAAAGATGTTCAGTATGTGAATAGCTCAGTAGCCTGATTTTAAATATAGGAACTGAACATAGAGGCACTTCTGTAAGTAAACACTGTTGCAGAACAATTCAGTATAAGTAATCTGTATACTTGAAAATGGGAGTGTTAGTAAACATTATTGTTAAAATCCCTTTTGTTCTACTAAGCAAACAGATCCTATTATTTTCATTACTGCAGTCTACAGTAAAACAGGGAAGCCCAGATATATTTTGATAACATGGACTAGCTTTGCAGGCTTTGTGTAAGAAAACACTTTTCAAAAGGCCAAGGTGTTAGAAAGGGTTCAGGAGCAGATATACTAAAGCAGAGTGAATTATTGTTTCTATGCATATGAAATTACTTAAATAACAAAAATGTTTTTATTATTTGAATCTGATTATAAGTGATTGCCCAATAGTCTGTTATTGCTACAGTACTGATTTATTTTTAATTGCTATTGACCTTACAGAATTGCCAGCTTTCGACTACTCGACAAAATTCTCACAGCTGAGTTTTGTGCACGGCTCATCCAGTTGTGTTTTTATCCTCTTATTCTTGGCTTATGTTAACAACAGGAGCTAAGAAAGCCATCAGATACTGTGGAATAATATAGAAGACTGGACTGCATTTTTACTAAATCATTGAATTCTACTGCTTTGATGGAATGCAGTATTTACAACACAGCACTGTTTAAAACGTTCTTGAATGTTTAAATGGTTCAGACTTTTTTAAGGCAATTATCTTGGTCAAAATATATATGCAAATGCATTGCTTATACAGTTTGTTTATTGGGTTTGTCTCTGGGAATAATAGCTGCACTGGTAGCCAACTTTTTGCAGTTGTGTAATGCAATTTTTTCATACATCAGCAAAGTACACAAGACTGAAATGTCAAATATATATTTAAGTCTGGGGCGGGGGGCCAATGAGGAAGGCTGTGATTTATCAGGATTCCATGAGTTCCAAGGACTTTTAACTAAATGGAAAATTAAATGAGAATATAATGCCAAATTTCAAATCTCCATCATTGCTGGGAGTCAGAGCAGAAGAGTTATATAAACTCCACTAAAAATACTGAAACTCTGATATTTTATATAAATGAATAAATATTTAAAATATATTTTATCTATATTTGCAATAATACTGGAAATATACTCAGGAAATACATATTCAATAGGGATGTCGATGTAGCTTTGTAGTCATTAGCAACTTCCTCACAAAATCTTATATGCCTAGAAGTCAAAGGACAACACTCAGTCAACTCTAATTTCAGTCAATACATTTATGTGTATGTCACTTATTTTGAACATTTTATTCAAGGGTTTCAAAGTCCCTTTCAAATATGAGCTAGGTGTGTTTCATAGCAGTTCTGTAAGGACATCTATTTCAAGATCACTTCACAGAACAGCTGAAAATACTTTAATGACTCGTCTGTTTCACCTATCCTTTGAAATGTGGTGGGGTTTCAAGGGAAGAAACATGGCTGTAACAAAGCCTTTTTTCTTCTCTTTTAAACCATATTACTTATTTGTCAGCAGGTGAAAAACAGGAAGCCACTGTAAAATTCATGTACATGATTATTTACGCCTACAGTGATACACAGCTAGGACAGGAGCCAGCCTAGATCCAGCAAGAGGCTGCAGGAGCTCTCTCTGGCAGGTTTTGGGGCCTGCAGAATCTACAAAATTGAGAGAATCTACAAAGTAACAGGGTTTGAGGAACAGCAAGCACTCTTCACAGCATATGGTTTCTACATTTTTATATAGGCCTAGAGACCTCAAGAGTTTGTTTAAATACAATTTTCAACATTTTAAGACATACAATTGATTCAATTTTCTAGACTTTTTTTTTTGTTGTTGTTGTTAGTTTGTTTTGATTTCTTCAAAAAATTTTTTTAAAAGTCTTTTGTCTCCCAAATAAGACTTGGCAACTTGTTTGATCAGAATTGCAGTTAGGCTTTGTGCTACTTCCTGGAAAAAATGAAAAGGCTCCATGGCATTATATTTTCAAAAGCAGTGCCTTCAGACACAAGATTTGAGACTCCCAAAGATTCCACTATTTATGAAACTTATTTCACAGATCTTTTGTTCTCGGGCCTATCTAATATCTGGCTCTAATTCAGAGCCAGATGATAGAAAAGAAAAACTAAGTGAAGATGAAAATTATTTAGTTGCATTATATTGTTATATATATATCATAATAAATTAATAAAAATACTGATTTGGTGTTCAGATGAAAAGTATACTTTGAATTAAAGTTACAAGGTATGTTGAACAAAAGCTGCAACCTCCAGAAGCCTCATGAATTCAAAAAGTTGTCAGAAAAGGTAAAACATCCCACCTCACGTTCTTCCTCCTGTTCTTTCCGAATCTGTTCCAAGCGAAACTGCTCTGCCATTTCTCTCTCTTGTGCTTCTCTCTAATAAAAAGAAACACATAGTAAATACACACGTACTCACTTCGCTTTCCACAGATCCATGGATGACTGACGTATTTGCACAATACAAAGCCAGGTGAATAAAACCTTCACAGTTCTTATGAAGCTTGTTAATGGAAACTTATCTGAACTCAACTTTTGTCCTCAAGAATTTACCACATTAACATAATTAGTTACATATATTCTGAAATGTCTTGAATTTCTCTTTTGTAAAAGATTCCAGATATGGTTAGACCCAAGGTTCACCCGGCCTAGAAACCTCTGATAATGATCATTAATTGTGACTTAGAAACTAACATTAGAAATAGGATATTTATTAAGTGATCTTTTCCTATCATTCCATTGGCAGCTTCTATTATTATGTAGGGTCAGTACTGCTTTAGCAAAAAGATAAAAAAGATCAAAAAGTCAAATCTTGTGAATGTATCTAGTGCCATTTGATAACCACTTATGGCTCTTTCTGCAATGGTCTCATATTAAAAAGCAAAACTGAAGTGATGCACCAGAGAGATTTCACCAGTCACGGACAGATTCACATCTTGGCATTCACACAATCACTTCACCAGCCACACACCTTCGCTCTGTCAGCTTCGAGTGATATGCGGTATGCTTCATCCTGCTCTCTTTTCACATTTTCTCTGGCTTCACGTTCATCCTAAAAAAAAAAAGAAAAAAGAAAGGAAGAGAAAAGAAAATGAAACCACCAGCATGTGGTGACCATCATGACATATATCTTACATCTCTGTTCACCAGCATTCTCTACCCTCATGACTTAATAAAAATAAAAATATATATATATATATCTGACTGCCTTACTTATCTAGCTATTGCTACGAGAAAAAAAAAATCAGAAGTGCCTCAAGGGCAACCTTAGCTTTAAAAAAGAAAAAAATTACAACTTACCTAAGGCTACATTTCAATTGCCATGCTATGTATGGTGAACAGTGTGTCCAAGCCCTGGCCCAAGGGCTGGAGCTGGCACCAAAGCTCTTTGTCCTGCCACCTTTACTGTGGCCTAGGCAGAGGCCGGGAGCAGCTGAAAGCCTTCTCCTGCACCAGCCACGCACGGAGAATCCAGCCTGCCAGAGCAGGACAAGGGACACTGGAGGGACATGTGTGGCCCAGCACTGGGGAAGGTCTCACAGGGATGTCACTCCTGCAGCTGACTGTTTGGACTGCCTTGTAGTGTGGAAGGATAGATTATGGTATGGAGGACAAGGCTGGATTGTAATTTATCATCTACTTCAACTCACAGGAGGGAATGGTTTGTTCCGTGAGAGGAGGCCTGCTCCCAGGACCTTTCCTGGTAAAAACACAGTCAGCAGGACCCATCCAGGGCCAATACTATTAAACATCATCCAGAGGCCTCAATTCATATCGTACTGAATACTCTACGAGGATGGGACAGTAACAAGTAGTGCTCTGAAGTGTCTCAAATGTAAAGATGCAGGCAGACGAGAAACATGAGGTTAGTAAGCCAACTTCAAGCCAGCAAACCTAGCAAAATGTTTTATTAACGATCACAGCACAGAAAGTAAGGGTTTATGAAAAATATGCTAATGGCAAAGTGAGGCGTCACCCATACAGTGGAGGATCAAGAAGTGGATATCCCTGAAAGCTGAAAAGCACTGGGGCACTATCTGATAAAGCAAAGTATACAATCCTTAGCTCCATGCTCTGCTGCTGCAGCCAGAGACAACGTCGGCTGCTCTGCGCTTACTCTTCTCACATCCTATAATCCTCCTAGAGCCCTGCAGAGGCTGCAGTGGTCCCTACAAAAATCAATAAGATTTAGCTGTGAGACTGCTGGTGGGCTCAGCGCTGTCACCCGGAGTTACCAGCAACACAGCACTTAGGCTGGGGTTTCACAGAAATGAAAACCTACTACTACAGCTTTCTGAAGCATTATCATAATATTCCTCATGATCTGCAAGGCTTGTTCCACTTAAAAGAATCATTTTGCAAACTCATTTTATCCCAGAAACCTCACTCTTTGGCAAAAACTCGATTTTAAACGAAAGGAGCATAGTTAACTATTACTGTCATGTCATGCAACCATGCCAAGATGTTCCTCAAACAAAACTCTAGCGTATTAGTGGTTAAAAAGTTCTAGAGCTGCATGCAACCACAAGAGGAAAGGACAAATTGCAGGAAAAGGTATACAACCTCCAGATGGAAAGTAACAAGATCTTTTTAGAGGAAACTCTTCTTCCTTATAGAAACAGGACCCAAGATTATTCTACAATCAGTGTCTCCTAAATTTTATTCACAGAAGATAGAGAAACCATCACTTTGTTCAGCAGAGCTAAAACATGAGAAGTAATTCTTGCAAAACGTAACAAGGACAATAACCACCAATAACCCATTCCCCTCTGGCTTCTCTGGACTTTGATAAGCTTTATATGCTATGTTCATGGAATGCCTTCAAAGATTAACTCAAACATGCCAGCATAAACTACCTACATTAATATTCAATTTCTGGAAGAGGGGATGATTTTTATAATATCCAAAAGTGAGGAAAGCTTCTTGAACCCACAGTTCCCAACTCTTTACAGATGGAATGTAACATATAAAAAAACCCACCTTTTATACTGTCTATATTGAAACTTTCCATAAACATACAGTAAGTTTACCTTAAAATGGTAAGAAACAAAACTAATTTCTCAAACCAACCTCCTGAAAGACAATGAATTCAGGCATTCTGTGAGAGGAGAAGCATTTAAAAAATATTAAGAGTTGTTTTGGAGAGAACCTGTTTATCTTACATGTTTTGCAACTTCATACATTACCGTAACTTCATGTCAAAGATCCCACAAGTCTGGGTGATCAATGCTGGAGGGACAACTGAAAGATCAGATGCAACTACAGGCTCTTTGCCAAAGACTGCCAGCAATTAACATATAACTAAATGTTAAAAATGTAAAAATTGTTAAAAATAACTCCAAAAATATATACTAAATCAAGAGTTGTATGAAATTGAGTACTGACTTTTATTTCGCATTAAACAAACGATCTACTCAAGGAAGTTATTAAAGGTTACTTGCGATGAGTACAGGATTCATTTACCTACAAGGATCTTTACTGAGCAATTTTTGAAATTGGTTTAAATTACATAATCTGGATGACACCTTCAAAAAATACTGATGCTATAGATTCTACAGCAAGAATATAAATATGAATTCCGGGCATCTCAGAAAAATATATTTGTTTCCTCCCCATTCATCACAGTTATCATCGTCCTAAAACCGGATTATGAAAAAGATGTCAGGAATGCGAAGAATTGCTATGCATGACTGCCTGGTCCTCAAAGAAATATGTAAGCCACATCTAGAAGTAAATGACCATGCCACCGAGCTTTACACCACATAGAAATAATACTGTTCCTACTGAAACAGATCTAAGAAAAAAAAATCTGTAGCTAAACTAAACAGCACTGGAATCCAGATTTCTTCAGCTGAAAAGCAGATGTAATCAATCACATGGATTTTTGTTGTTTGTTTGTGTGTGTGTGTGTGTGCGTGTGTGTCCTATTCCTGTGTTTTGCTAACACTGCTCACACTCTATAGGAATAGCCACATCTATGGTGATTATGGTATAGGAATAGCCACATCTATGGTGATTATGGCAGATTTATAATATTCTCTCGTTCAGAGTTACACCTTGGACAATTTTTTAACATTAGATGCTGCAGTTCATTATTTTAGTCATCTCTTCCTCTAGGGAAATCATACAAAGTATGAAGATGACACAAATCTACTAGAAAGCAATAAAATAAAAGTGACAATGTTCATAGGAAAAGCAGAACAAAATATTTTGCAATTAATCTTTCATTGCTACCTAAAAAAGACGACATGAACGAAAAAAAAGACTAGTAATACTACTAAAAAATAATTTTAAAATGTCATATGTGTTGTCCATTAACAAAACATGAGGTAGCTGACATCTATCTTCTTAAACCCTACATAAATTGTAGCATCTACTGAGCATTAATAAATGCAACTTCGTGTTACTTCTGCAATGCATGCAAAATGGCCATCTTCTGTTTTCAAGAAACCAAGATGTGAACAGACATCTTATCCCAGTTCACTTAAAAAGCCTACATCAGAAAGAGGAATTACACTCAGCAGTTCTGAGTTCCACACCAGTGACCTAAGGAAGGTGTTAACATAAACCATCCGAATCACAGGGGTTTTGCTCCTTGAAGGTAAAAAGTCCCTCAAGAAATTTTAAGTACTAATTTTAGATTTTAATGAAAATGTCCACAGAACAAAATATTTTCTGTATTAATTAAATGTTGAAATAGCTACCTGGTTGTTTCTTACTAGAGCATGAAAAACGTAACATGAATCCAGAACAAGGGCTGAAAAGGAACAACGCAACTTTACATTTGAACTTGTACTGAATTGGAACAAGATCAAATTCGTGTTTTTGTCACATCTGTTTTGAAACGAATGCAATATTGCATGAGAGATCAGACTTGGCTTTGTCACACTAGCCTGGCTTCTAGTTCAAACATTGTCATCTCTGTATTATTTGTTAAAATGAATCATGGTAAAAGTAAATTCTACTTGTCTGCTGCAGGAGAAATCTGCAGACATTTAACAAGTTTACATAATAAAAAAATATAGAATAAATATAGAATGAAACACAGAATTCACCCTTGATATGAATTTCATTCACTTGGATCAAGATTCTTTTAGCTGCTCTTGCACAAGCCTTAGAAGTCTTATTTGGTGTTGAACAAAAGAAAATCCAGGCAATTGGGAATGATTTAGATACCAAACAAATCCGATGAAATCAACAATTAAAAAAAAAATTTTGCTCATACAAGTATTTTTGTATGTTTAAATTCTACCTTTGGATAAAATTATATGATCTGACTTTACTAAGGCAGTAGGCCTCATCTGTTTCATGATGAATGTAAGATCTGAACAGACAAATAAAGACTAAAAAAAAAAGGAAGGATGAACTCTGCAAGCCAAGAGATCAGTGGTGAAGAGAAAAGCCCATCCTTCTGACAGTGCACCATGAGGAAAACGAGGTGGAAGAAAATAGGAAGGAAGGGAGAAAGGGTGCAATGGCAGAGGAACGTTAGGGAACAAAGAGCAAAGAGGTGAGGTAAAGAGAGGTAGTACAATGGAAGCAAAAAATTGAATGAGCTTGAAGTGCATGATGGAGCAGAAAGGATTTAAATCTTTAAAGTTAAAAGGAAAAAGGGTCTTGTCAGCCTACATGGATGCTTCCTCTACACTATCAGAGCTCAGCGCATAGGGAAAAGTATGTATGTTCCCTCTCCAGTAATTATTCCCTAAACAATTTAATAAAGCTTCTTCTGAAGCACCTAATAGAAGGAATTTTCAGAATCAGTATGATGAAAAAGTTGGACTCCTGATTGCACTTGGAACAGCACTTTTTTTTTTTTTTTTTTCCCTGCAGATTATATAGGGGAAAAAATACACAGGACACAGAAAGTTGGCTTCTTGGATGGGATATTTAACTGGAAAAGTCAGCCTTGGAACTTCTGTGCTTTTTAATGTTTTTGCTTGTGAAGGCAGGATTTAATGATTTAACCCCAGGTATCAGTTTTGTACCTGATCTGTCTCAGAGAGATGTGTTACACCCCATTGCTCTTTGGGATTAGTATTACTCTGAAGT